GGAAGTCCTTATATATATCCTAATGGTCACTAATAAAGAATTGACAACATATTTTTCAAAATCAATTTGTATATGAAAATTCACATACATTCAGCAATGAAAAACGTATATGTATTTCACCAAAAAAAAAAAAAAAAACGTATATGTACCATACAGCTCTTTCTATCAGATATCTTTGACATCATATACTTATCTTGATGGGAAAGATTATCAATAGAGTGAGCAATTGCATTAGAATTTGAGGCCATCTTTGAGCATCCCACAGCCACAAGCAACTTATCCATGAGATAAAACGAGTAACACCAAGAGTCGATTATTCTTCAATGTTTGCAGGGAAACCAGACCATCACTAGTTGGAAACTGGCACTAACAGCACTGCACCTGCTAGCTTGTCAACTCTACAAAATTTTCTGAGTACGAAATACATTAAAAGAATAATGATTTGACAACCACGTTAAAGACCAACAATTTCAAATACTCAAAAGCTATTATGTGAATTTTCAAGAAAGGTTTCTATATCTCTAACTTGATTAACAACTATATCTCACACCTCTCTATACTAGCATAGTAGCATGTTAAGGAAAACAAATAGATGTAAAATGCCAAAAGATAAAAGAGAAAGTACTCATTCTCTCCCTCTCTCTCTTTTAAATACCAAAGCTCTCACCAGGGATCGATCAACCAGTTGGGTTAGGCACACTAGCTAGAACTTATGTCACGAGAAACACTCGTTTGGAACCAAGGTTCTAGCCAAATTGCCAAGTACACATTCTCTCTGTGTCTACAGAATAACTAGTAACCTAGTAGTAAGCTGAATAAGTTATATATATATATATATATATATATTAGCCGTGAACTCCAAAGAACACGCTCACCCGTGTAGAATTTGTACTCCAAAGAAAACATTCTCTCTTTACTGTTCTATTGGATTTGGATCAAGATTGCCTTCTGCATAAACAACTGTGTCAAAAGTTACAATGCAGAGCTCAAGTCTTTTGAGACTTTCCTGCAAAACCCCAATATAAATTCATGTAACACAATACAGTTACAACATCGTTAAGGTTCAACTATCCTACCTCAAGCTGAAAACTTATAACTGCGGATCAATAATAAAAGGTGAAGAGTTCCCATCAAAACCTGGCATTATGTCATATACAGACATGAGAAAAGGAATATAACAAACAATATATATATATAGATATCCAATATGACAACCTTCATTATCTTAGCCGTATTATTTCTAACTTCTTATTGTTCAGCCAAGACAATTCATTTTATGTATGCAGAACTTCTGTTGTTAATTAATAGTGTTGAAAATGGAATAATAAAATTGGTATTGGCTAAATTTATAAACCGGACATAGCTAAAAGGATTCTAATAATGTAACAATATTTAATGAGTTGAAGCATATAGCATAAATTTCCAATGAGAATTGCTCCAAATTCTAATAAAATTTAGTTTTCCATGGGAGATAATCAAAGTGTAGTAGCAGTTGAATGACTTGACAGTGACGGGTATATATGATAGCATTGCTGCGACAAAATCCATTGCCATAACGAAAACATAGGTACAGAAGTCAGGATAATAATTGCAAAATGAATTCGTGTCGCACCCTTATTACCAAGGCATCTGATCCGCTATTATATTACGACAACTGGCAATAACCTAATGTCAATCAATGTCTTATCATTCCTCCACTTTTTTTTTTTTAATTTATTGGTAACTATAAAATAATTAGTAATGTTACTTGAAAAATGAAATTGTAAAAAAAATAACGTCAATGGAAATTTAATCCTAAATAAATATAATTATCTTTGACTAAATTACTTTTTTTATCAAAATGTTTAAAATATTATCACTTCGTTAATTTTTCTCTCATTTCTTATTTTTTTAAAAGTTATGAAGTGGAATTTATTGGATTCTCACGTAATACTTACATGGAGTTGACTAATAATCTATAAAGGTATATATTATTGATTGATTGGAATTTAAAATAGTTTAAAATTATTGTAAACTAATAAACTTATAAAAGGAAAAAACGAGAAAGATAAAACCCACATGTTTATTAAACAAACCACATTCTTAAAAATTATGTAAATGATGCGCCAAGTGTTTAGATAGTAAACCATCTAATTTATTTCTTTATTTAAATTTGAGAATAGTTTCATTTAGAATACAAATTGCACGTTAACATATAGGTAAAAATTAAAAAATATTAACGTGTGCAACTATTTTTTTTTTTACTTTATTTTTTATAAAGTAAAGTATGCAATTTTTATGAGGTTTCGCAATAACCTATGTAGTATTAAGTTATTGGAATGTTATATATTACACTCTCTTCTTTTTATTTTCAACAACAATCATTTTCATTATTAACCTATTAAAAATATAACAATCAAAACTAAAATTTAAGTGGTAACTATATCAGTAGTTTTAGGTCCAAACTACTCTTCTAAAACGTTCTTTAATTTATAAAATAAAAAGTAGTCCTACTAGATAATTTTTGTTTGAGATTTCCTTGCACAGTTAAAAAAAATGGCTAATTTTGTGTCCTCGCGATTATTTGTGGTTCCTAGAGGAACTTAATGCCACTTGATATAACGTTTTTTGGGATTTCTTTTTTCTTCATTCTAAAGAAGTTGAATCTAAAATCTTGACTACGCCTGTAATTTTTATTACGATAATTGTTTTCTGGCATACTTTTTTACCATGATCAAGGATAAATATATATAGAACTTAAAAGGAGATTAATACTGACAATCTCTTTTCCGTTATAATCTCTTATAACCATTTTTATTATTATTGAATTAAAATCAAATTAACAATTCTCATTCAATATCATTTTGTGACCGATGATTTAATTTTGATCTAACAACTATAAAAATTGTTATAAGAAAAAAGAGGTTATAACTATTATGTCCTAGAACTTAACTAATTTTTTTTTTTTGGTAAGCAGAAGTTAACTAATTTAACTCCTTCCAAATTGTTGTTTTTTAAGAATTATTTAAGAATTCATATTTTCTTATATATTTAAACTTAATGCAATTTTTTAAGAAAGTAAATTAGTGTACACGAAATAAGTCAGACAAATACAATTCTGAATATATATATATATATATATATATATATATATATATATATATATATATATATGGTAAAATTATTTCTTCGACTACTGGACGTCCAGCAATAAATCTTATACTGTTGATTAATTATGATTATCCGCATTTAATGCTTTTACCCACCTTTATATGATTATGATTACTCGAATTTATTTGCTGGACGTCAAGGGTGTGCATGACAATCTTCCTGAAATCAAGTTTTTTTTTTTAATTTCTGTTCCCAAGAACAGAAATGGATAGAAAACTCGTTTGGTAAAATCGATTTTTTTTTGTTCCCGGGATGAACGGATTTAATTTTTGTGCTGGGAAACAAAAAAAAGAATAAATTTTTTTTGTTCTCGGGCACAAAATGACAAATACTTGTCTCTCAATTACTCTCCACCACTACTATCACCACCATGTCACCACCATTACCACATTACTGCCACCACCATCGCCATTACCACCACACCGCCACCAACCACCACCACCACCGCCGCAGCCACAACCATCACCATCACCCTCACCACCATGTCATCATCACCACCACTACCATGCCACTGACACGTCACCACTACCGCCATCGCCACAATCACCACCACCATCACCTCACTACCATGTCGCCATTACCATCATCACATCACCGTCACCACTACTGCCATCGCTACCATCACCATCACCGTCACCAACCACCACTATCATCGCTGCAGCCACTATCGTCACCACTACTATAATCACCATGCCACCGCCACCAACCACTACCATCATTGCAGCCACTACTGCCACCACCACCACCACTACCATCACCACGCCACCGCCACCGCCAACGCATTTACCATGACGCCACCACCATCGCCATCATCACCAACCACCACTACCACCGCTATCACCATCATCGCCGCAGCCACTGCCGTCAGCCTTACCACCATGTCATCACCACCACCGTCATCACACCACCATGTCGCCACTACCACCACTACCATCACCATGTCACCGCCATCACTAGGGGTGTTAACGGGTCGAGCTGTGCTTTGGTCTTAAAAGGTTAAGCTTATGCTTAAATTAATGTGTTAGCCTGACCAAGCTTATTACCTGTTATAAATATAATTATCAGTCCGTGGCCTGACTTATTTACAAAAAATAAAAGCTTGGTTTAGCCTGTTTAAAAAAATATAATACAACAAAAATTTATCTAAACAGAATATACAATCAACAATAATTCCATAAATATTCATAAATTCAGTGTATATCCAAACAGCATAATATAGAACAAAATCATTCAAAAAGTTTGTTTAATCAATAAAATGAGGTGAAATGAATTAAGGAGAAAGAGAGGGCTATTACAAGTAGTATAAAAAATAAAAAATAATATACTACGTCAGCCTGAGAGGCTCTAAGGCCAAGCTTTTGAATTGGAGCCTAAGCTTTTTTTATTAAACGAGCTTTTATACAAGTTCAAGCCTGATGCCAACAACCAATTTTAGACATGTAAGCTCAGGCCTTCACAAGCCAAGCCAAAGGCCCCTGGTTCGTTTAGCACCCCTAGCCACCACCATCATCATCACCGTCACCAACTACCATCACTACCATCGCTGCAGTTACTATTGTCACCACCTCCACCACCACCGTCGCAGCTTACCACCAGCACCATTGCCACCATTACTGCCGTCACCATCACCGCGCTACCGCCACCATCACCATCGCCACCATTACCACCACCACACCATATTGAAAGAGAAGTGACCGAAAAAAATTTATACTTAATAAGAATTATTTTTTATTATATTATTTGTTGTGTTATCAAACACAATTCTCATTCTCGGAGTAAAAATAAAACATGTTATCAAACACTTTTTTCTCTCAAAAAATGTTCCAAATAAACGTATATATATCATTCTCCTATGAAAATAGATCATGTATATGTAACCTGCGATATATGACTGGCACAATGCCACCCCTGTATTCTGCAAATTTGAGATATGAAGGGATGGCTAAGTCAAAGTGCTTGCGTGGTGGGTTGCACCATCCTCCATTGTCACTTGGTATACTATAATTTGGAGGGCAAAGGTCGGTGGCTGTGACATAAATAGAGGATTGGCCTTTACACCATTGAGAGTTTACACATTTGATCTGGAAACATGCCCCACATGTCCGGCCATTGTTGAACAAAGCTGTGCTCAATGCTGTTGTGTCAAGCCCATAACCTTCTTTAACCACATCTTGATACCCACAAGCTCCTCCTGCAATCAAGTTATTCTTTTTCTTCGTAAGTAAAAGACATGTATGCATAAAAAAAAAATTAACGTTTCTCCAATTACATAAAATAATCATTCAACCCTAGAACAACACTATTTTAGGACTTAAATATTGAATAATTTTATAAAATTCATGATATAAAAGAAAAGTACAATTTCTGAAATACACTAATTACTCTTTATCCAAATCCCAAAACGACGTCTCGTGTTAGGGTCGCTGGAGATAACTTTATACAATGTAGCAAATATAAACACTTTTCCCTAAAAATAATAAGAAACGAACATATTTTATTGGAAAAATAACTTCTCCTTTCAAAGGAGAACAACCATCTTATGCAATAGAAACAGTTGCTGGGGTCTCATTTATTTTTTTGAAAAAGAAAAAGAAAAAAAGCTGGGCACAAGAATCGATGTGAGAGCGGTAGATGTTTTTTGAATGAAGTGACATGAGAGGTATAAACCCCTATTTTATTATGATGAAAAAGTTTGTAGTATATGTAATGGATTAAATGAAAACTATACATTGATCAACATTCAAAATTGATCATACCAAATGTTCCGGAGTTTCCTTCATAGAAGGTAGCATGAGCCTCCTTCCATTGGCTAGGGCTAAACTTGGGGCGATGATGCTTGCGGGTAACGCCCACTCTGTGACCCCCTTCAAAATTGTTATACGCTTCATATCTCCATGGGGAGATAATGATGTCTGCATGCACATCAGAAATTGGCAATGCAATAAGAAAGAACAAAAGAATTTCCAAAGGAAATGCCATGGGAATTGCAGGTTTGATTAGAAGTATTCTTCTAGATTATGTTGTAGCTTGGTGTTGGCGAATATATATATAAGGTCCAAGGTTCTTACTTTGTCTAATGTTTTTGGAAATGACACAGCAATCACCTCTCCAAATGGAAAATATATCCAGTATTCCATTAATACTAACGATTCTGTGAATTATTCATTCAAATTACAGAAGCGGAAAAAAACCTATTTAATTGCATTTATTCTCCATTTATCCTGAACTTCCACTTTTTCCTTCTCTAGTAAATGAGTAATTATATTATTCCGTTACTATTGAAGATATATATATTCCTTCAAAAATCGTGTCTTTGTAATCACAGATATTTTAGTTTGTTTCGTTCACATTAAGATAGCAGTGAAAGAATGTATATTTATAGTCTAATTGGATGGCATTTGCAAAATAACACCTCAATCACCTCTTCAAATCAGTAATCAACTAATCATCATTATTTTCATTTATTTCTTTCCTTATAAGCACCATTATTTAATTTGTTTCTTTTCATGTAAGATAGTAGTAGGTTTTGTATATTGTTAACCTTACATGACATATACAAAGTAGTGCATAAAGAAATATGAATGAAATATATAAAGAATAAAAGTTTGATGTGATCCACTTTGTGAAAAAATTATTCAATTACTATTTCGTGAAATTTTTTTATCCATCAACCCCTCTTCATTTTTGCTGGCTCCACTAGCAAGATTAGGATATCATGTCGCAACATTCTAGAGTAGGCAATATAACCAGAGAGTGTAGTTTTCCCAACAAGACTCCAGGATGTTATGGTTCATCTTATCATCTATTCCAAATTTTACGTTCTCTTTTACTTTTATTTCTAAATATTAATTAAAATCATGAATAATAATTAAAATTTAAAAATAATACAATTACGTTATTTTTACAATCAACATTAAATTCGTTCAATCAAATAATAATTAACACATTAAATTATCAATGACCAGATTGACTTTTCTCCCAAAGAATTCAAATTTTTGAAAACAAAGATCTTAAAAATTAATATATAATAATTAATATCATTAAATCCTCCATTAATATTCTGGAAAACGTATTAAGCTCATTTAGTCAAATAATAACTACTATGTTGTTAGATGACATTTATTTGTGTGATGCTATCTTTCAGAAGTACCGCAAATTTAAAAATATAAATTTTATTGTGGATCATAACAATTTAATTCTTGATTTTTTTTTAAAATTAAAATTTAATAAATTTAGAGGACCTCGAATAACCAATTTTCATCTAATGAAACATCAATTTCTTGTTGATGCATTTAAGATTGGTTTAGAAATATTCTTGTGTGCGTCAGTGCGTGCGGGTGTCATTTTGGGCTTTTTGGGATTATTTCATAGTTCCGGAAATTTTAATCAATGTTTGTTATTTTATATTTTTGTTATTTCTTTGATTCTCTCTTGATTGTACATTATATCCTTTAGCTGCGCATGATTACTTTTCATTATTTTTGATTTTATTTTATTTATTTATTTATGGTTTGGAGAATCCAATTATTATTTGAATTTTATGGTTAAATAAAATTTAGAAAAGGTAAATAGTTTTTCTTGCAATCCTTGCGTTTAGGGGTGGTAATTATTGTGAATTAATAATTAATTAATGAATCTGATTTGCGAAAATAGTAACCGTTGATTGACAAAAATCAACGGTTAAGATATGATTGTAAGATATTATAAACGGAATAAATGGTAAATATAACCTTATCTTTTTTCTTTTCTTTTTACATTTTGATCAATATTTTTAACGCTTTTACGTTTTATGTTTTTTTGACTTTATGATTTTATGTTTTACGATTTATTATTTCCTTTCCTTTTTAGGTAAAATCTCAATTATAACTATGTTGCTCTTACAACAGACTTGGATTAAACTACTTGAATCAAACTAATCGAATAATCGATGAACCAAGGCATAAAATAAAAAACAATAACACTTAGAGAAATAAAATAAAAATAATTTTATTTGAAGGGATATCATATGAGACAAGTGATGATTTATATTATTATCAACATAATGCCCAGAGACAAATCGAAAAACACCAAATGTAGGTGTTGCAGAGAAGCATTTATGGGAAGTTTTTGCCTTCATAGGTCTGACCAAACTGCCAATACTTAGGGGCGACACGCCTTGAGACACTGGACCTTCCATCACTTGCTGTCACCCTGAAGCTCAATCTCTCTCCCACTAACCTAACATCTGTATCCCAATTCTGACCCCAATTTCGCCTCAAATCTGTCCATTTGAACTTGCCATCATCCTTCATCACTTGCACTCTTACTATTTCCCCAGCTCCTCCAACATTCCACACTTTTACTAGATTGAAATAAGGATTCCCATTCATGGTGAACCTAATACCTCCCTCCTTCTTGCATGGTACCCTGCATATACATATATATTGTAACAAAAAAACATTATTAATTTCAAATATATACCATGCAAATTAATTTCAATATATATATATATATATATGAAAATGGAAAATGTTATATTTACAAACTTTTACAAACTACATTATGTCTGACCGGTCATACTTTAATTAAAATCAAAAGTGTATGACAGGTCATACTTAATTTAATTTGTAAAAAAAAAATTTGTAAACGAATCATTCTCCTATGAAAATAGATCATGTATATGTAACCTGCGATATATGACTGGCACAATGCCACCCCTGTATTCTGCAAATTTGAGATATGCAGGGATGGCTAAGTCAAAGTGCTTGCGTGGTGGGTTGCACCATCCTCCATTGTCACTTGGTATACTATAATTTGGAGGGCAAAGGTCGGTGGCTGTGACATAAATAGAGGATTGGCCTTTACACCATTGAGAGTTTACACATTTGATCTGGAAACATGCCCCACATGTCCGGCCATTGTTGAACAAAGCTGTGCTCAATGCTGTTGTGTCAAGCCCATAACCTTCTTTAACCACATCTTGATACCCACAAGCTCCTCCTGCAATCAAGTTATTCTTTTTCTTCGTAAGTAAAAGACATGTATGCATAAAAAAAAAATTAACGTTTCTCCAATTACATAAAATAATCATTCAACCCTAGAACAACACTATTTTAGGACTTAAATATTGAATAATTTTATAAAATTCATGATATAAAAGAAAAGTACAATTTCTGAAATACACTAATTACTCTTTATCCAAATCCCAAAACGACGTCTCGTGTTAGGGTCGCTGGAGATAACTTTATACAATGTAGCAAATATAAACACTTTTCCCTAAAAATAATAAGAAACGAACATATTTTATTGGAAAAATAACTTCTCCTTTCAAAGGAGAACAACCATCTTATGCAATAGAAACAGTTGCTGGGGTCTCATTTATTTTTTTGAAAAAGAAAAAGAAAAAAAGCTGGGCACAAGAATCGATGTGAGAGCGGTAGATGTTTTTTGAATGAAGTGACATGAGAGGTATAAACCCCTATTTTATTATGATGAAAAAGTTTGTAGTATATGTAATGGATTAAATGAAAACTATACATTGATCAACATTCAAAATTGATCATACCAAATGTTCCGGAGTTTCCTTCATAGAAGGTAGCATGAGCCTCCTTCCATTGGCTAGGGCTAAACTTGGGGCGATGATGCTTGCGGGTAACGCCCACTCTGTGACCCCCTTCAAAATTGTTATACGCTTCATATCTCCATGGGGAGATAATGATGTCTGCATGCACATCAGAAATTGGCAATGCAATAAGAAAGAACAAAAGAATTTCCAAAGGAAATGCCATGGGAATTGCAGGTTTGATTAGAAGTATTCTTCTAGATTATGTTGTAGCTTGGTGTTGGCGAATATATATATAAGGTCCAAGGTTCTTACTTTGTCTAATGTTTTTGGAAATGACACAGCAATCACCTCTCCAAATGGAAAATATATCCAGTATTCCATTAATACTAACGATTCTGTGAATTATTCATTCAAATTACAGAAGCGGAAAAAAACCTATTTAATTGCATTTATTCTCCATTTATCCTGAACTTCCACTTTTTCCTTCTCTAGTAAATGAGTAATTATATTATTCCGTTACTATTGAAGATATATATATTCCTTCAAAAATCGTGTCTTTGTAATCACAGATATTTTAGTTTGTTTCGTTCACATTAAGATAGCAGTGAAAGAATGTATATTTATAGTCTAATTGGATGGCATTTGCAAAATAACACCTCAATCACCTCTTCAAATCAGTAATCAACTAATCATCATTATTTTCATTTATTTCTTTCCTTATAAGCACCATTATTTAATTTGTTTCTTTTCATGTAAGATAGTAGTAGGTTTTGTATATTGTTAACCTTACATGACATATACAAAGTAGTGCATAAAGAAATATGAATGAAATATATAAAGAATAAAAGTTTGATGTGATCCACTTTGTGAAAAAATTATTCAATTACTATTTCGTGAAATTTTTTTATCCATCAACCCCTCTTCATTTTTGCTGGCTCCACTAGCAAGATTAGGATATCATGTCGCAACATTCTAGAGTAGGCAATATAACCAGAGAGTGTAGTTTTCCCAACAAGACTCCAGGATGTTATGGTTCATCTTATCATCTATTCCAAATTTTACTTTCTCTTTTACATTTATTTCTAAATATTAATTAAAATCATGAATAATAATTAAATTTAAAAATAATACAATTACGTTATTTTTACAATCAACATTAAATTCGTTCAATCAAATAATAATTAACACATTAAATTATCAATGACCAGATTGACTTTTCTCCCAAAGAATTCAAATTTTTGAAAACAAAGATCTTAAAAATTAATATATAATAATTAATATCATTAAATCCTCCATTAATATTCTAGAAAACGTATTAAGCTCATTTAGTCAAATAATAACTACTATGTTGTTAGATGACATTTATTTGTGTGATGCTATCTTTCAGAAGTACCACAAATTTAAAAATATAAATTTTATTGTGGATCATAACAATTTAATTCTTGATTTTTTTTTAAAATTAAAATTTAATAAATTTAGAGGACCTCGAATAACCAATTTTCATCTAATGAAACATCAATTTCTTGTTGATGCATTTAAGATTGGTTTAGAAATATTCTTGTGTGCGTCAGTGCGTGCGGGTGTCATTTTGGGCTTTTTGGGCTTATTTCATAGTTCAGGAAATTTTAATCAATGTTTGTTATTTTATATTTTTGTTATTTCTTTGATTCTCTCTTGATTGTACATTATATCCTTTAGCTGCGCATGATTACTTTTCATTATTTTTGATTTTATTTTATTTATTTATTTATGGTTTGGAGAATCCAATTATTATTTTGTTGTGTCGTGTCATGTCAACTCGCAAAAAAATTGTGTCGTGTCAGTGTGTAAGATTTTGACACGAATAAAAATTCGTGTCGTGTCAAATTTGTGTCGTATCGAATTCGTTTCGTGTCGACCCGTTTTGACACCCCTACTTCTTTTGAGGTAATTATTTTGATATGCCTATACTTGCCCCGATAAGATTCTATACACAACACTCTCACTAATAGTATTAGTATAATTTATTTTACAACGATCTTTATAAAAAAAACAAATAAAATAATTCACATGCCTAGATGAGGAATTATTTTACAGACTCGTTCAAAAACTCATTATCATTTATGAACGGTTAATTTTTTTTTCACAATTAGATCATTTAAAATCTTATTTTTTTTCAGCTATTTATTTAAAATGAAAACAACACTGCTACAATAATCAAACAATTGTATTAATATTTATGTATTTAATTATGGGATAGTATATTGTAACAACCTAATAATATTATTATCATATCTTAATCGTTGATTTTTGCCAATCAACGATTATCATTTATTGCGAATTAATATTTAATTAATGAATTTGATTGCGAAAATAATACATTGATCGGCAAAAATCAACGATTAAGATATTGTAGTAATATTGACAGTAACATTATTGGGTAATAATAACGGGAATAACATCTATCCTTTTAAAGGATATAAACTTGTATCCTTTTAGATCTTAACCGTTAATTTCCGTCCATCAACGGTTATAATTTATTGGATTAAAATTATTAACTAATTAATAATAAATTTGATAGGCTCTGCATAGCAACTATTGGTAGAGACAATGTTCCGCTTCATAATCATTTTATCAAGTCAATCTTGAAAAAAGCGTCTCTCTCCAAGACAGCCCTGCCAAGAAATAGCACAGTGGAAGGTTCTTTGAATGTCAAAACGCCCAATGGGTGTAACAATCTTCAGCTTCTGTGCAAGGATTTTCTTCAATCTCCTCGGAGAGGTAGGACTAGCACAAACTTGCGTCCCCGCAGATTCATCTCCTCGGGAGGACTCCAAACTTGCGTCGCCGCAGATTCAGGGACCGTCCTATCCCTCTTGGTCCTCAAGGGAAGAACAACAACATTGGGTTTGAGGATTCGGCCCCTAAAATTCATGAGCAGCAAAACACTGTTGATCTACATTCTGTAGGTAGCAAGCGCCCTCTATCTCTGGAAGATGGGGAGGAGGTTGATGAGGATTCTGAAAGCCTGAATATATATAGAAGGAGTCCTGTTCGTGCGCCTTTGGCAATTCCCACCTACAATAAAAGAGCACGAAAACTTTCATGTAAAGGATTACCATCCGATACCGTTACTGATACCTGTAAAAGCATTGGTCAACTGCCTGATGCACCTTCTTTAACAAAAAGGTTGGAGCAGATATTGGAAATGGAAGGATTGATGATATCAGCGGATGCAACCAACTTGTTAAATAATGCGCTTGATGTTTACCTCAAAAGATTGATTAAACCCTGTTTGGATTTAGCTGCTTCAAAATCGGGAAATAAATTTAGTGGTCCAATCCAATCTGGTTTGTATGGGCTACCTATTGGTAGGCGTGTGCAAAAGCCAATTGTATCTGTTTCTGACTTTAAAACAGCAATAGAGTTGAATCCTACTATACTAGGGGTAGATTGGTCACTACAATTTGAGAAGGTTTGCCTACGTGCATCCGAAGAATGAACTAAAGCAAGTTCAACATTGTACTGATCCAAGCTATAAATTGAGTTTTCCTCAAAGTTATGATATTGGAATGGGTTAAATCCTTTCTGAATCTGACACGTGTCACTTTTTTAAAATCTGTAGAAATAAAGGAAATAATTAAATAAATATTCAACATTTCTAAGGAAGAAGGAAATAAAGGAAATAATTAAATAAAGGATATTCTACATTTGAGATTAAATAAAGATTTGATTTGTGATGGCTTATGAATTTTTTTCAAAAATAAAATTACCTAAATTAGGCGTGATTGCCTCTTGATTGAAACCCAAATTAGACGTCATTGGTGATGTGTAGGGTTTTGACACGTGTTGACACGTTTCACATTTTTAAACTCGTAAGTCTCTGAGTTCTGCGTTTGTGATTTAATACAAAAAATACATCAAGATTTGATGGGTAATTTAAATTAAAAAAATAAATTTTTTTATTTTTATTATAAAAAAAAATTGGTTTGTGATTTAAATTAAAAGTAACAATTATTATTAATAAGGAAAACAAAATAAAAATTTGATTTATGATTTAAACTAAAAAAGCAATTTGAAAAATCTGTAGAAATAAAGGAAATAATTAAATAAATATTCTACATTTCTAAGGAAGAAGGAAATAAAGGAAATAATTAAATAAATGATATTCTACATTTGTGATTAAATAAAGATTTGATTTGTGATGGCTTATGAATGTTTTTCAAAAATAAAATTACCTAAAGTAGGCGTGATTGGCTCTTGATTGAAACTCAATTTAGAAGTGATTGGTGATGTGTTAGGATTTGACACGTGTTGACACGTGTCACATATTTAAACTCAGAAGCCTCTGAGTTCTGCGTTTGCGATTTAATACAAAAAATAAATCAAGATTTGATGTGTGATTTAAATTAACAAAATAATTTATTTTTTTTTATTATAAAAAAATTTGGCTTGTGATTTAAATTAAAATTAATAATTATTATTAATAAGGAAAACAAAATAAAGATTTGATTTGTGATTTAAACTCAAAAAGAAATTTGAAAAATATGTGTTAATAAAGGAAATAATTAAATAAATATTTTAAATATCTAAGGAAGAAAGATTGCCTGATCTAAATTTAAATTATGTTGGTGAGAAATAAAATATATCAAATGAGATGCCATTGCGTAGATCTCAAAATTTATGTGGAATCAAAAAAAGAATTACATGATTTGGATACTCGAGTCAAAAGTTATGGCCTTTAGAAGTTTTATAATTAAATTAATTTTTTTTTTTGGAAAAAAAAAGTGACAGGTGTCAACACCTCATGAGAGACGCCTCATTTGGGCGTCTTCCCCTTACGGTGAGAAGCCTCAATGGGACGTTACAGTGTGCAATAGATCCGTAATTTTTCTCAAAACTGCAATAAATACATAATTATTTAATTAAAAAATATTATTTTAATTTTTTTGCCTGGATTTACGACCACAGTGAAGATAGAGGTGAGGAAATATTCATTGCAATGTCTATGGGTGGAAAAGATGGAAATTTAAGCTTCTTATTGGATTTACATTGTGATAAATAAGTGTGTAAATACATCAGACAAGGACCTAGAGCCTTACCTACTTTTGCCCTGACTTGATCTGATTTATTTTAAAAATTATACAGATTTGAGCTTATTAAAATATATCTTTAAAAATCAGAATCATAACCTTTAAGAATTTAGACTTGACCTTTATTTTTTAATAAAACAATAAATTTATAAATAAAATACTACAATATAAAATTACAAATGACTAATATATATGTGCGCGCTCATGCATAAATTTTTAAAATAATTTTACAATAAAAATATAATACAATTCAATTAATTTTTCAATTTTGCACTTAATTTTTTTTTTCCTTTTTTGCTTTTGATTGAATTAATATAATTTTAAATATCCTTAAAAAAAATTATATTTGAAATATCCCGTCCAATATAACAGTATTTAGTAAACTTTTATTTTAAAAAATATAAACCTTCTTTTTAGGGGTGTCAATATAGGTTTTGACACGCGGGTCGACCCGCGATACGACACGAAAATTCGTGTTCGGGTTGACCCGCAAAAAAATTCGTGTCGTGTTCGTGTTGGAAAAAATAACACGTAAAAAATTCGTGTCGTGTTCGTGTTTATGTATTCGTGTTCGTGTCGACCCGTATTTTTTTAAATTATTTTATTTTTAATTTTTTATTATTATTTTTTAATTTTTTTTAATATCGATCCATTTTTTTAATATTTTTTGTCATTTACTATTTTGACCCTTATTTTGCGTGTTATTCGTGTCGTGTCGTGTCAGTGAGTAAGATTTTGACACGAATAAAAATTCGTGTCGTGTTAATGTTGATGTATTCGTGTCGTGTCAAATTCGTGTCGTGTCGAATTAGTTTCGTGTCGACCCGTTTTGACACCCCTATTTAGGGGTGGTAATTATTGTGAATTAATAATTAATTAATGAATTTGATTTGCGAAAATAGTAACCGTTGATTGACAAAAATCAACGGTTAAGATACGATTGTAAGATATTATAAACGAAATAAGTTGTAAATATAACCTTATCTTTTTTCTTTTCTTTTTACATTTTGATCAATATTTTTAACGCTTTTACGTTTTATGTTTTTTTGACTTTATGATTTTATGTTTTACGATTTATTATTTCCTTTCCTTTTTAGGTAAAATCTCAATTATAACTATGTTGCTCTTACAACAGACTTGGATTAAACTACTTGAATCAAACTAATCGAATAATCGATGAACCGAGGGATAAAATAAAAAACAATAACACTTAGAGAAATAAAATAAAAATAATTTTATTTGAAGGGATATCATATGAGACAAGTGATGATTTATATTATTATCAACATAATGCCTAGAGACAAATCGAAAAACACCAAATGTAGGTGTTGCAGAGAAGCATTTATGGGAAGTTTTTGCCTTCATAGGTCTGACCAAACTGCCAATACTTAGGGGCGACACGCCTTGAGACACTGGACCTTCCATCACTTGCTGTCACCCTGAAGCTCAATCTCTCTCCCACTAACCTAACATCTGTATCCCAATTCTGACCCCAATTTCGCCTCAAATCTGTCCATTTGAACTTGCCATCATCCTTCATCACTTGCACTCTTACTATTTCCCCAGCTCCTCCAACATTCCACACTTTTATTAGATTGAAATAAGGATTCCCATTCATGGTGAACCTAATACCTCCCTCCCTCTTGCATGGTACCCTGCATATACATATATATTGTAACAAAAAAACATTATTAATTTCAAATATATACCATGCAAATTAATTTCAATATATATATATATATATATATATGAAAATGGAAAATGTTATATTTACAAACTTTTACAAACTACATTATGTCTGACCGGTCATACTTTAATTAAAATCAAAAGTGTATGACAGGTCATACTTAATATAGTTTGTAAAAAAAAATTTGTAAACGAATCATTCTCCTATGAAAATAGATCATGTATATGTAACCTGCGATATATGACTGGCACAATGCCACCCCTGTATTCTGCAAATTTGAGATATGCAGGGATGGCTAAGTCAAAGTGCTTGCGTGGTGGGTTGCACCATCCTCCATTGTCACTTGGTATACTATAATTTGGAGGGCAAAGGTCGGTGGCTGTGACATAAATAGAGGATTGGCCTTTACACCATTGAGAGTTTACACATTTGATCTGAAAACATGCCCCACATGTCCGGCCGTTGTTGAACAAAGCTGTGCTCAATGCTGTTGTGTCAAGCCCATAACCTTTAACCACATCTTGATACCCACAAGCTCCTCCTGCAATCAAGTTATTCTTTTTCTTCGTAAGTAAAAGACACATGTATGCATAAAAAAAAATTAACGTTTCTCGAATTACATAAAATAATCATTCAACCATAAAACAACGCTATTTTAGGACTTAAATATTGAATAATTTTATAAAATTCATGATATAAAAGAAAAGTACAATTTCTGAAATACACTAATTACTCTTTATCCAAATCCCAAAACGACGTCTCGTGTTAGGGTCGCTGGAGATAACTTTATATAATGTAGCAAATATAAACACTTTTCCCTAAAAATAATAAGAAACGAACATATTTTATTGGAAAAACAACTTCTCCTTTCAAAGGAGAACAACCATCTTATGCAATAGAAACAGTTGCTGGGGTCTCATTTATTTTTTTGAAAAAGAAAAAGAAAAAAAAGCTGGGCACAAGAATCGATGTGAGAGCGGTAGATGTTTTTTGAATGTAGTGACATGAGAGGTATAAACCCCTATTTTATTATGATGAAAAAGTTTGTAGTATATGTAATGGATTAAATGAAAACTATACATTGATCAGCATTCAAAATTGATCATACCAAATGTTCCGGAGTTTCCTTCATAGAAGGTAGCATGAGCCTCCTTCCATTGGCTAGGGCTAAACTTGGGGCGATGATGCTTGCGGGTAACGCCCACTCTGTGACCTCCTTCAAAATTGTTATAAGCTTCATATCTCCACGGGGAGATAATGTCTGCATGCACATCAGAAATTGGCAATGCAATAAGAAAGAACAAAAGAATTCCCAAAGGAAATGCCATGGGAATTGCAGGTTTGATTAGAAGTATTCTTCTAGATTATGTTGTAGCTTGGTGTTGGCGAATATATATATAAGGTCCAAGGTTCTTACTTTGTCTAATGTTTTTGGAAATGACACAGCAATCACCTCTCCAAATGGAAAATATTTCCAGTATTCCATTAATACTAACGATTCTGTGAATTATTCATTCAAATTACAGAAGCGGAAAAAAACCTATTTAATTGCATTTATCCTGAACTTCCACTTTTTCCTTCTCTAGTAAATGAGTAATTATATTATTCTGTTACTATTGAAGATATATATATTCCTTCAAAAATCGTGTCTTTGTAATCACAGATATTTTAGTTTGTTTTGTTCACATTAAGATAGCAGTGCAAGAATGTATATTTATAGTCTAATTGGATGACATTTGCAAAATAACACCTCAATCACCTCTTCAAATCAGTAATCAACTAATCATATTATTTTCATTTATTTCTTTCCTTATAAGCACCATTATTTAATTTGTTTCTTTTCATGTAAGATAGTAGTAGGTTTTGTATATTGTTAACCTTACATGACATATACAAAGTAGTGCATAAAGAAATATGAATGAAATATATAAAGACTAAAAGTTTGATGTGATCCACTTTGTGAAAAAATTATTCAATTACTATTTCGTGAAAATTTTTTATCCATCAACCCCTCTTCATTTTTGCTGGCTCCACTAGCAAGATTAGGATATCATGTCGCAACATTCTAGAGTAGGCAATATAACCAGAGTGTGTAATTTTCCCAACAAGAATTGATACAGCTGGTCAAGCCTGTCACCCATACTAGTTACTGCTTTGGTAGATGATCTATAATTCTTTTTTGGGAATAAGATGATATATAATTCTAAAATTGATGGTTTTCACTGATCTTACATGGGATCTCAATAATTTTTTTATAAATCTTAAATCAAGAAATAATTTTATTTATTGAAATGCAAAAATTTAATCTAAAACTTATTTTTCAAACGATAGTTTTATATAGCTTAACACTTTTTTTTGGTGAAAGTGGTGAAAACTAAACAAAGACTTTGGTTTAAAGGATTTTTTAAAGCAAAAAAAAAAAAAAAAGTTGACCCAAGTTATAATATTTAAATTTTAAATATTGTTTCTTTATTATATTCTCTAATTAAGTACACAAGGAGTAGTATCAACCAATTTGGAAATAGAAACCAGATTAACTTTGAATTTTGGAACATGAAAAAAATCTAGTAACTTTAGAGAATTAGGTAAAGAAACCGTGCTACAAATGGATGTTGTAACTCAAGTTCCATTTGGTATCATGATGGAGATGGGATAAATCTTTTGCATTGAGCTAATAATAGATTTCATTGAACATATATGACCCATGGCTCATGTGTCCAAGATCCAACGGATATGAGGATTACCTGAACAATCATGGAAAGTTGTTGTTGGTGAAACAGAGTTCAATGCAGAAGCAGCAGCAAGATTGGAAGAGTAAAGTGACTTATCTTTAGTCTCTAATTGCAATTGAGTGTTTTGCAGAAGAGTAAGCAATTTCTGATATTGATCTTGTGACAAAGAAACTCCAAGTTTCATCTCATCATCAACAGAAAATTCACTTTCTTGCTGAACAAGATTAACAGCACCTCGTGGCTTCATACTAGCCATGTATCCAGGGGGAAACCCATGTAGTTGGTAGCAAGTGTCAACCATGTGGTTGTTTCTGCCATAGTGGGTAGATATTTTAGATCCACGCCTTTGACCACCAGAATTGGAACGTTATTTTCCTTTGTCTGCAAAGTTCTTTTTGCCATTGTTTGGCATGTTAGGAAAAGTACGTGATAACAAAGATAATTCACCCAGTGAGCTAAGTTGGAATTGTCTTTCTTGTTGAGCCACCAAAGAGAAGGCTCTAGTGACATGATGCAAAAGGTCCAACATCATGATCTGAGACCTAACGTGGGCATATTGCTCATTTAGCCCTTTTAAGAACTTGACGGTTTGATCTTGATCTCGATGACTACTTATCACTTCGAGAAGACTGCAATTACATGTAACATTGCAACGACATATAGGCAGGGGACGAAGATTCTCGAATTCATCCCATAGAGTTTTCAACTCAGTGAAGTAATCAATGATGTTCATCTCTCCCTATTGAAGCTTGTTCATGTCTTCTTGAATATCAAAAAGCCTGAAGATATCAAACTGACTGAAATGATTTTTGAGGTTGATCCAAACATCTGACGCGCACGATCCATCCAAAGAATGGACTTCTCAATCGAGCTGCTGATGGTTCTGTGAATCCACACAAGAACTATAGTGTTGCAGCTTTGCCATACTGCGAAGAGAGGATCATCAATGGCTGGTGGAACGATGATGTCATAGTTGTTAAAAACGTAGTGTCGAAACATAAAAACAGACATTTTTACTTTTTGTTGGCAAAAAATGTGTCAAAACGGAAGAAGAAAAGGGATCTGGGTCGAAACGGTTGAAAAGCCGTGTCAACTCGGTAAACACGGTTGACTTAGCGAGTTTACCGAGTTGACTCAGCTCTAAAAAAGAAAGAGTTAGATCTAACGAGGAGGGGAGAGACAGAAGCAAAGGCGATAAAGAAAAAGCAGAGCTTCATTGCCAACACCTTCGTCATTGTTGGTTGTTACTCCAACCCAAACCAAAATGCAAGAGAAGAAGGGTCAGAGAGAGAGAGAGAAGAGCTGAAGACAAGCAGAAAGATGTAGAAGACGTGACCAAATAGAGGAAGAAAGAACCTGAATTTACTGCAAATCCGCCCTCTCTGCAACATTTGCCAAATATTCTCACAAAGAAAGTAACTATAGTGTTTATAAAAAGGAACAAAGAAGAAGATTGTGAGTGAAGTGATATAAACTCTCCGTCACTGCCACACTCTGATGCTTGTATATTATTATCTCAGTAAATCAATGCTTTAAGTAATTAATAAATCCATGAATAATATAAAAATATATATAATATTTTGTTTTGCATAGTTCAAAAATAATATATATATATATATATAAAACACGTAATAATAAAAAAATTTATATATATTCTTAGTCATTGATCTACTTAAATTTAATAACTCATATAATTACTACATTAAAATCATTATCTATAAATTAAAACTAAGATTAAAATTGACATTCTTATAAAATAAACATGTTTGTATGTTTTGGTTTTATATATGTTGGACATATATTTTTATATTTGGTACGTTGGTAAACTCTTATGTTTTGCGACTTTACGTTTTTGCTCACCCTTACCGTTTCTACATAGACTCTACGTTTTAACAACATTGGATGGTGTCGTCAACAAATCCAAGCTTGTTCTTGGACAGTAACGCCATACTCATTACCTGAGTCCAGGTATGGTAGTTCCTTCCGTTGAGTGAAGGTGTAACGAGAACAATTGATGGATTCTTGTTTGGATGTGAAAAGAAAGGATGACCAGGATTGGTAAGATATTATGGAATAGTATCCGCCATTGTTGACGTAAGGAAGAGAAATTTTCAGATGAAGAAAAAGCAAGAGTTGTAGTGGAGGAATGGATACCAGAGACGAATCTCTGATACCAACTTACAAACACACAAGGGAGTGAAAGAAAGGGAGAATACTGAACTCCATATTCTTGAGAAGGGAAAAATGAATCCTGTATTAATCTCAGTTACTATTACATACATATATACAAGTTAATGTTAAGTGTCTAAGCTATAACAAACTAACAGATATTTCAACAGCTTTAACTTTCTAACTATCATAAGCATGTTCACGTGGGATCAGCTGTAAGTGATGGGCTGACATGGCTAGTATATCTGACGTGGCTCCTTTCCTGCTTTGCTTCATTTACGATGGCTTTACCTTGTTCTCCTTCTCTTCTTCTTTGATATTTAACTCCAACACTATTAGATAATAATATAAATCATTAAAAGGCCATCACTCAATACCTTAAAGTTTTGGGTTGAATTGATTATTTACATGGTATCAGAGCTTTAGTGACTATAAGGTCACGAATTCGAACCCTACTGCCCCCACTTGAATTAAATAAGCATAAAGTAAAAAAATAAAAAATAGTGTCAATTCATAGATACAAAAAAGTGAGTCCCACTGAAAAAAAAAAACACAAAAAGAAGAAGAAGTGAGTCTCACTTTTTTGTGTTTATGAAATAACATAACTTATGTCATTTAAAATAACACATGTTTTTTCTTTCTTTAAATCATATTTTAAACGTTTGTGGTGTGTTGGGAAATAAAGAAAAGGACATGAAAAGGAAAAGTATGGTGGCCATCTCTATTTATGCCTCCATGGTACTTGTCACTTGGTTCCGTATACGATTCTCTTGTAAATACCACTAGCCAGATAATACAAACCATTGGCTTTTTTGAACTAGGGTCGCTTTGGATTTACACACTTATTCTCGATCGAACCAAAATACATATGGAGGATTATCTCTATTGTTAATCTAATATTATTTATTGCTAGTTACGAGTCACTTTGCCACGATGGGAACTTCTTTAATTGGATGTCCGCGAAGAGTTTACTTAGGGCCTGTTTGATATCTGTTTTAGAAAACAGTTTTTAAAATTTAAAAAAAAAAGTATAAAAGTAACGTGTTTGATAAATGTTATTTTCTGAAACTTATTCTCAAAATAGTATTTTTTTTTAACTTTTAGAACTGAAATTACAGAACACCTCATAGATGTTTTTGTTTTTGTTTTTGTTTTGAGTTTTTATTCTTAAAATAATGAAAAGACGGAGAACAAGTTGTTTTCATTAATGGCACAATTATAAATAATAAATCACTCTCATATATCAGGTTTCAACATTCGTTTATCGCAATTTGTTTGAGTATATCAATTAAATAGATTTTTTGCTTTTTTACATTAAAAACATATTCTTAAAATACATATAACAAACAAGTTTTTTTGTTTTATAATTTTTAAAGTTCTTTTCAAAATTAATTTACCTAACAGAATTTTTTCTTTTCTAGCTCTGAAATTCAACTCTTAAAAATTATTTTATAAAATAGTTTTCAAAACAAAAAAACCAAAACACTTTAAAACAGAGCCTTTCTAGCTCTAATCTTGATAAGCTACGTGATCAATCTAATAATAATCTAGTTAATTATACAATTGTAGTCTGTCGTGTGAATTTCTCAAGTGGATGACAATGATCACGATCAATTAGCATCAAGTTTTCGTAGCATTGGACTATTGGCATTTGAAACTCCAACTAGATAGCTATCGGTAGAGTGATCATGACGTCTCAATAGCTATACAGTAACTGCAAACTTTTATAAAAGGTTCAGAGAGTGAGAAAAAGCAGCCATTTAGGGGCTGTTTCGTAAAGGGGTAAAAAAAAATTGGCCAGAAAAATAGGATAGGAAAAATATGACCATGTTTGATAGGAGGATTAGGAAAAAAGTGTCCGAAAAAAAATGCTGACCATGTTTTCACTTTGTACACAAATGAGTTGCAAAATTTTGTTATTGTAAGGATGATTACCTTTTTTTCTCTGTGGATGACAAATCCTTGACACTTTGCTGTGACGAAAAATGCCCTGAAGCACAGGTCAGAATTCCTACTTTGTTACAAAAAAATCTACATGTACTTGTTAGTCCAAACTTGAACATTACTAATACTAGAATGACTACTAAAGGGTAATTAAACTGATCTCATAACTAAGGACAGAAAAAACATGATGAAGGTCACATAATATGTAGTGGAGGAGCAAAGACAAATGAAGCCATGGGAGTGGTTTAGTGACGACAGTTTTGGTAATTTATATTAGATTATGTGTTCAATTTTCACACATATCAAAAAAGAAGAAGCAAAGGCAAATGTAATTAAGGTATTAAATTAGGCTAGCGATCAATTATCATGATCAGTTTGAAAGTGTCCTGTGATAAGGTCAAAACAAGTAATGGTTTACTAAAGCAAGTTGAGATTATTATTAACTAGGCATTAGAAGAGAATATTGAGAAATAATATAAAATAATGCATTTAGACGTATATTCTTTCTAAATGCTATTGACGTCTTGTTTTTTTTTTCACTTTCAAAACTCATTTTAATAAAATTATTGACTCCGATACATTAAATTAAAATACATGTTATTTGAAATGATTTAATTTCACATTAAAAAAAAAATCATTTTTTACTTTTTTTTAAATATTATTAAAATAATTTTTATATTTTTCTTAAAAATACTTTTTAGGTTTTCCTTATTAATATATATATATATATATATTATAATTTAAATTATTTTTATTAACTATTATTTAATTTAATTTAAATTTTATCTAAATATAAAATATTAATATAATGTCAAAATTACATTTAATATACATGAGTGATGTGGCTAAGGTCTTTTTCATAATTATATAGCTTATAAAATATTTGTTAATTCTTTTAATATTGCACTAGATCTTTTCAAATTTGTCTTTCTCTAGTATATTATTTTAAGAAATAAAATAAAATCATTCATATGCATTCTCTCAACAGATTAAGTTATTTGGAGAGTTAATTACGTAATAGGATATTAGAACTTTTAATCAAATGCTATAGAGTTTGATCCTTTGTTGCTTCATTCTTTTAATAAAAAAATACAAGGTAATAAAAAAAATAAAAAAATAGCCACATGCATTGTACACTTAAACTTTGAAGAGAGTTGGTTGAATGATAGATTAGGTTAAACAAATTTTTTTCAATTATTTTATATGCTTGGTACTACAAACTTAAAAAAAATCTTAGAATTGTTGTATGTATTTAAAATTTTAAACAATAAATAAATAAAAAATAGTTTTAAGAAACACAATTTTGAATTAATAAATATAATTGTTAAAAAATTTAAGCTTTGATTGAAAAAAAGGTAGAACTACATATGATTTAACATCAAAGAGGTACTTTACATGATTTTATTAAGGGAAGATATACTCTTATGTTATAAGAAAGTAATACATCAATTTTTGTATTATTTTTTATAAGTGGGTGAGTCCCACACATGATTATCTTTATAACGTGAGAGAATTTTTCTTCTATTGCATGAGATTAATAAAGCTCTTATATTAAGGGTTATAGAAGTATTATGTCACATGACCCTAGCTAATTTTCCTACAGAAACAAAAGTGAAGAGAGAGAAAATGATAGAAAAAAAGAGAAAAGAAAAATGGTGGACCCCACGTTTGCATTGTTTGTGCAGGAAAATAGTTTTGGGTTCCTGTTACATGATATTTATATTACCCTTATATTAAATATCATATGAGATATCCACTCCGGTTTGATTATAGATAATAATCAATAGTCATTACTTAATTAAAATAAACGATGTCAAACCGATCATAAGATGGAGAGGCCGAGTTTATTCATTTGCTAAGGGTGTGCATGACAATCATTCTGTTTCCTGGCACTATTTCTAAAAAGAAACAATTCCTTTATATTTCTATGCCTTGAAACAGCTTTTTTGAGAAAAAAAAATGTGTTTGATAACGTTTTCTATTTTTATTCTGAGAATGAGAAATGCTTTTGATAGCACAACAAATAATATAATAAAAAATAATTTTCATTAAGCATAAAATTTTCAGACCATCACTTTCCTTTTCATAAGGTGTGGTGGTGGCGGTGGTGGCGGCGACAATAATGGTGACGATGGCGTGTTGATGGTGGTAGTGGTGGCGATGGTGGTGGCATGACAACGACATAGTGGTGGTGGTGACGACAGTGGCTGTGATGATTCTGGTTGTGGTTGGTGGCGGTGGCGTGGTGATTGTAGTAGTGGTTATGGTGGTGACAGTAGTGGCTGCTGTGATAGTAGTGGTGGTTAGTGACGGTGGTGGTGGTAGTGGTGGTGACGGTGATGTGGTGATGGTAGTGGTGGTAGCGGTGGCATGGTGGTGTGTTGGTGGTAGTGGCGATTGTGGTGACAAAGGTGATGGCGTGGCAGTGACATGGTGGTGTGGTGGCGGTAGTGGCGATGGTGATGGTGTGGCGGTGGTGGTAATGGTGGTGGTGATGATGATGGCAATGGCTACAGCGACAATCGTTGGTGGCTGTGGTGGTTGGTGACAGTAGTGGTGATGGTGGCGGTAATTGTGGTGGCATCGTGGTGGTGATAGTGGTGGAGTAGTGGTGGTGGTAGTGGTAGTGGCGGCATGGTGGTGGTGGTGGCGACGGAAGTGACTGCAATGATGGTGGCGATGGTAGTGGTGGAGAGTGATTGAGAGAGACAAGTGTTTTTTATTTTGTACTCGGAAACAAAAAATAGAAATTTTTTTATTCTTTTTTCTGTTCTCCAGCACAAAAATTAAACCAGTTCACATATAAAACAAAAAATAAACTGATTTTATCAAACGAGTTTTCTATCTATTTCTATTCCCGAAAATAAAAAAAAATAATTCCGAAAAGATTGCCATCCACACCTTAAAAGAAATTCAATTATGTTTCACACTCTGACATTAATTTTAATGTCCTTACCTCTACATATCAAGATGGTCCCTTCAGTTACGAGGTCCCAGTGACCAACTCCCAACCGTGTAGCTAAGTTTTCTTCCCCCACCCACTTGCTATTTTGTTCATATCTTTTTTCCCCCAAAAAAAGTTTGGAGATGTTTCATTTGTTCGTTTGTATTTTGTTCAATGTTTGGCTAAGGGTTTGTTTGATTGTGTTCTGATTTTTTTTTAAAAACTATTTTATAGAATAGTCATAGAAATAAATATTTTTTTATTTTTTATTTTGAAAATTAAAAAACAAAACACAAAATAAAAATAACTGAAATATGTTCTCCAAGTTTAATTCTAAAAACAAAATAACACTTACAATTTTTAATTTTTTTTTTTACAAAATAAACCTTTATAATTTATTGAAATTTAATAATTAATTAATAAGTGTGACCCAATAAATTATAACCGTTAGATTGACAGAAATCAACGGTTAAGATTTGGTAGTAAGAAAAAAAGATAATAAGTATAACCTCCCTTTATAAAATGAGTTTATTTTTTTATACTGAAAATCAAAAAGCTATTTTTAAAAATAGTATTCAGGCGTTAATTTCCCCATTTGTCTTATGCCCATCACTCATAATCTCTTTGAATTGACATCATCTCCCGCCCCTACCCGTGCGTGGTGCAACTCACATTTATGCTAGTTTGGTTGGTTCTCCGTGGGAGAAATCCCTGATAGGGACAAGAACACACAAAACAAATACTATGTCAAAATATACTCCTTCAATATTGATGTTATCCCAAAGCATTAAATAAGGATCCATGATTTCAATGGAAAGGGCCGTTGATTTTTTATAATGAAAGTATAAGTCATCGTTTTTTAAAACGGGATTGAAAATTGAAGAAGAATTCCAACACGTGTCCTGATAAAGAAAACATACAAAAATGGTTGGTGCTTATTATTATATTTATTATATATTTTAATATTATATTTAAATCAAGTGTATTTTAAAAATAATAATAATTAAAAGTGATTCACTAATTGAATCATTGATTTATTTACCGAGTGAATGGCTGATATGAGTTTAATAACACTAACTTAACTTTATATTAAATAAATAAATAAAAAACCAACACAAGCTAAGGTTTAGTAGATAATGAAAGGATGGGAGAAATAAGAAAGAAAAGAGAACTAGTTTTAAAAAGAGAAGTGTCAAATGGTAGTTGGGTTGATGTACGAGAGCTGAGTATATATTTGATTCTTTCCAAAATATTATTATTGTTGGAGGTTTAAAACTTTAATCATAAATTTAAATTTGTCCCGAACTTCTAATTAGTCCATATTAATTATTTGAAGTCATTTGTTTAACCAATCCAATGATGAGTTCCTTATTTATGTTTGAATTTCATTCTCTTCCCCCTTATTAATTATTTGAAGTCATTTGTTTTACCCAAAATTACATGAATACCATAAAACCCAACTTCTTTTGGGCCGAAACCAGGTCCAATGTTTAGGAAGCTCCATGACAATCAAAAAAGAAAAAGAAAAAGAAAAAGGAGAAAAGAAGGAAAAAGCTCCATAAACCCCGTGTGCCCTTAAACCTCTTAGTCACAGCAACCATGGTGAAGGCCTACCTCCGATACGAACCGGCGTCGTCGTTCGGAGTGATAGCGTCGGTGGAATCGAACATTGCATACGACAGCTCCGGCAAGGACTTTCTGTCTCCGGCCCTCGAGAAGATCGGAGTTTGGCACGTGCGGCAGGGCCTCTGCACCAAAATATTGTTGTTTGTCTCTTTTCTTCTTTTTGCTCTTGGTCTGAAGAAATTTATCCTCTTTCTCTTTATTATCCTTCATTCTTTCTAATAACATTTCTTCTTTCATAAAAATAATTGTATGTATGTATTTGTTTATGTACCAAAGAAGTTGTATTTGTTAATCTCTTTTATGCTTCTTTTCCTCATTATTTCTCTTCTTTTTCACATGTATCTGCATGTTCTTCCTTTCCTATGTAGTGGATTAGACAAATAAGATCTCTTTATATCAGCCATAATAATAATCAAAATAACAATCACAGATGTATAAAAATTTACTTTCAGCCTTAAATATTAATTTTTGCAAGTTATGAGCATTTATGCTTTGCCTGGAGTAGTGGTGAAGTTGTTCCTTTGTGACCAAAAGGTTACAGGTTCAAATTCGGAAACAGTATTTTTGCAAATATGCAATAGTAATAGTAAGACTGCGTATAAAGATTGTGTCCATCCCCCCACCCTTTCTAGTTGAGATTTAATGAGTGATTTACGAGCATTTCTGTTTTCTTGATATCTTCCAATTGCAGGTTGAGCTTGTTTGCAGGATTGGTACATTGCTGTTGCAGACACATTACAATCAGCTGCTCTCCACTCCAGCTGCCAGACCTATCTTAACTGTTTTCAGTGACATTTTTTATGAACGGGTGAAGGTAACTGTGCTAGGGTTTTTTTGTGTATTTCTAAATAAAATTTAAGCTTCGTTATATTTGGTATTGATTATTAAACCTTAATTATTATATATGGGTTCATTCTAATGTATAGAGCTACCTAAATAGCCTGCCTAAAAGAACCACTAATCTATGGTAACAAAATATTTTATAATAATTATATTAGTCTTACAGAGAATATTATGTTGTGAAGGATGCTGGACTGAAATGTAGGATAAAATTGGAACAAATAAACCTTGTGTGAAGATGGAACACAAGCTAAAATTAAATGACAAAAAGTACTTTTACCTTAAAAAAAATTTCTGACATAAAGTACTCTTTTGATGATTTTTTAATTATCCCTGATTCTCATGTTTGAGATGCATGAAATGCTTAATAATGTAGACGTTTGATTGCCAGTAGGCATCTAACTTTGAGAGTATTCAAACAGCATGCTGTCATTCCAAATTAGGCATGTTAACGCAGTTCCGTAAGAATAAGATATCTGGTGATTATGGGTGACAATCCTAATATAAATAATTTTTTTTTATTATGAATTTGAACCTGTAAGTCCTCGGATAATAATATTTTAGATTTAATTTATTATATCGCTATCATCTAGCTGCTACTTCTGTACAATCAATGATTTTTCACAGTAAAGCAGAAGTCCTACTCAAAAGGATTTCTAAATTAAATATTTCTGTTATTCTACTATTTTCGGTACAAATAACTGATGAACTTGAGTGTGTCATTGACAACTTGGTGTCTGAACTTTGTGTCAGGGATGGAAAGATATCCTTGGTTTTAATCTTGCAGCCATGGATCATATTCAGGTTTGTATAAAACAATCTGCCTATCTCTTACCCTTGATAGAAATGCTGATTCAATTTTGAATTGATCTTTTCAGCAAATGATGGCTTCAAGATCAGATGCACTTTTTCGTGATGCAAGAGCAAAACTCCTAGAGATACGTGCTCAACAATCAAAACGTTTACAAGAAAGGTCGGATATTGGAGAAGTGAAGCGGAAGAAGAAGAAGAAAACATAGTGTCGTGTATGTTTAGACATGGTTATGCGCTGGATTATGTTAATGATCTGGGTATTTCAATCACTGCGGAGAAATTGACCTCGACTGGAATTATATGTGATCGATGAAGCATTGCAGATTCAGATCAAAGTAGTCATATACGTTTTAACGATAAGAAAAATGATGAGTAGAGGTTGGGTTGCCAGAAAAAGGATTATGACCTTGTCAATGTGATTCCTTTTACCAGAAGATTGCTGTTTCAATCTGCGACCCATCTTCGTGTCAAAAGTTGACATCTTCGTTTGAAGAGCAAGGTTTTCACAGTATACTATTACTGATGTGGTTGGCTCAGAAAAGGGCGTTACTTTATATGGTCACTATATGTGTAAACATTAGTAATTTTACATAAATTTAATACGACTTTCTTCTCAGAATTTGGTTACCCTCTGTTGTGAGTAAAATTTTCCTTTGCTTTTAGTTCCCTTTGCTAGTTATGTAATCCGATGCTCATGTTTCAAGTTTCCATCTTCTAATTTTTTTTTTCCCCCTGATGAATGAAATTTGTTAAATTATATACTAGCTTGGCTGACTGAAATGAAGAATGTGTATAGGAAGTGCTCATTGAATGACTAATGAGACCACTATCAGATTTTGTTCTACCAAAAATGTTTCAGGATAATTGTTTTTGTCCTTTTGAGAATGAATATTCTCCAAGACATCAGTCCAATTTCGTTTCGTTTTTTTTCTCTTTAATTTAAAGCTGAGGATCTTCTGTATCTGCCATATCTATATTTTATATTTGTATAGTAAATTAGCTTCAAAAGTGATTAGTATTACTATTAATTATCCGAGATAGGTTATATTATTTATCTTTTTTGTATGCCTATCAATTTCTAATACTGTTAAATCAGAATTGTAATAAGAGAGAGAAATGGTAAATATTAATTGAAATTATGAGCTAAGTTGAAGATTGATAGAGAATAATATATCCCTAATTATCTATATGTAACATCACATGATTAATTTCTTTGAGAAATAATTAATATACTCCTACGTATCAGTTTTATGAGTTAATAATTATTTTGTTACAAAAAATTAAATGACCATTTAAAAAAAAATATTTTACTCAATTTATATAACTAGATATTGTTACAAATAAACAAAATAAATAGACTTATGTAATTCTTAAATTTTAAGAATAAATTTAAATTGTTTTTTGGTGAAAAAATACGTTTGCTATTATATTTTATACGAGGAAGGTTATACTTACAATCTTTTTTTTACAACATCTTACAACCATATCTTATCACCGTTAATAGTAAAAATGTTTCATTTTTTCCATTTTATAGGAAAAACACTGTTGGTTCCTTCTCTCTAGAAGATTTGATGTGGGGCCTATTGACATTGTTTTCTCTCTCTTTATATTTGTTTTTCTCCCAAATTTTCTCTTTGTAGGAATCAATAATGTTTTTCCTGTAAAATGAGAAAAATAAAACCTGTAGTAAAAACATGGTTGAATTAATTTATTTTATATTTTCAAAAACGAATTTTCAGTCCACAGTTTAATTCAAAATATCCGGGACTGATTTAATTATATTTTGTTAGAATTCAAAAATAAAATAAAATTTAACATACTTATGTTGAAAGAAATTATTTTTGTTTGAGAATAATAATTCAAAATCTAATTTAAAAGAATTAAATTTATTAATATATTATGAAGTATAATCATTTTTTAAAGAAAATAATATGTATGTTTTTAAAAATTTTACAAATAAGAATTGATACAGCTGGTCAAGCCTGTCACCCATACTAGTTACTGCTTTGGTAGATGATCTATAATTCTTTTTTGGGAATAAGATGATATATAATTCTAAAATTGATGGTTTTCACTGATCTTACATGGGATCTCAATATTTTTTTTATAAATCTTAAATCAAGAAATAATTTTATTTATTGAAATGCAAAAATTTAATCTAAAACTTATTTTTCAAACGATAGTTTTATATAGCTTAACACTTTTTTTGGTGAAAGTGGTGAAAACTAAACAAAGACTTTGGTTTAAAGGATTTTTTAAAGCAAAAAAAAAAAAAAGTTGACCCAAGTTATAATTATTTAAATTTTAAATATTGTTTCTTTATTATATTCTCTAAGAATATAATTGTGTTTATCATAAAATAAAAATATGTTTTTAATTAATTTTATTTATACTTAAAAATGTTTATTATAAGCTTTTTTCTTAGTGGAACAAATTGGTGTTTAAGTTAGAAATCTTATGTATTAGGCTAATATGAGAGGGCGCATTCATAAGTTTGATTATACTGAATTTATTATTTAGTGTGATTGACAGAAAATTTGAAATAGTGAAAAGTAAAACAAGCTATCAAAATATATAAATATTTTTCCATTAAATTAGAAACTTATATATATGACATTAAAAATAATTTAATATGCAAGAAATAGAAAGCGAATAGTTTCCTTTAATTAAGTTCTTATGATAAAATAAAAGGAAAAACTCCTATTTGCATTTATTACATTAATTGATAGATATTATTAAAATGATCGAGCAGCATTATGACAAGAAGATTGATTCAAATTAAAAAATAACACTCGACAATCACCTCGTGGATCAACGAATAAAGGGATAATTTCCAAAAAAAAAAAAGAACGAACAAAGGGATTGTGGGTTGTTCGAATTTATCGAGAGAAAAAATATTTGTACTTTTAAAAGATATAACCTTGTGTCATTTTAGATTATAATCATTGATTTCTGTCAATAATGGTTATAATTTATTGGGTCATACTTATTAATTAATTAGTAATTCACAATAAATTATAATTATTGATTGATGGAAATCAATGATTAGGATTTAAGATGGCTCAAAGTTATATCTAAAAGTTATATCCTTTAAAAGGATAAACGTTTCCCCCCAAATTTTTCTATTCATGTGATCTCGAATTATCACTACATTTTTATGTTTTTACCATTTTTTTAGAGGAATTACAACCAATTTTCGTTTACAATTTCTTATAATCATATCTTAATCGTTGATTTCCGTCAATCAACAATTATCATTTATTGCGAATTAGTAATTAATTAATGAGTTTGATTTGCGAAAATAGTAAATCATGTGATCTCGAATTATGAATACATTCTTATATTTTTACAATTTTTTTTTAAAGAATTCACAACCTATTTTCGTTTACAACCTCTTACAATTATTATATTGATTTTTAATTAATTGTGAATATTAATATTGATTTAATAATAATTAATTAATGAATTTGATTTGCGAAAATAGTAACCGTTGATTGACAAAAATCAACGGTTAAGATATTATAAACGAAATAATTTGTAAATATAACCTTATCTTTTTTCTTTTCTTTTTACATTTTGATCAATATTTTTAACGCTTTTACGTTTTATGTTTTTTTGACTTTATGATTTTATGTTTTACGATTTATTATTTCCTTTCCTTTTTAGGTAAAATCTCAATTATAACTATGTTGCTCTTACAACAGACTTGGATTAAACTACTTGAATCAAACTAATCGAATAATGGATGAACCGAGGGATAAAATAAAAAACAATAACACTTAGAGAAATAAAATAAAAATAATTTTATTTGAAGGGATATCATACGAGACAAGTGATGATTTATATTATTATCAACATAATGCCTAGAGACAAATCGAAAAACACCAAATGTAGGTGTTGCAGAGAAGCATTTATGGGAAGTTTTTGCCTTCATAGGTCTGACCAAACTGCCAATACTTAGGGGCGACACGCCTTGAGACACTGGACCTTCCATCACTTGCTGTCACCCTGAAGCTCAATCTCTCTCCCACTAACCTAACATCTGTATCCCAATTCTGACCCCAATTTCGCCTCAAATCTGTCCATTTGAACTTGCCATCATCCTTCATCACTTGCACTCTTACTATTTCCCCAGCTCCTCCAACATTCCACACTTTTATTAGATTGAAATAAGGATTCCCATTCATGGTGAACCTAATACCTCCCTCCCTCTTGCATGGTACCCTGCATATACATATATATTGTAACAAAAAAACATTATTAATTTCAAATATATACCATGCAAATTAATTTCAATATATATATATATATATGAAAATGGAAAATGTTATATTTATAAACTTTTACAAACTACATTATGTCTGACCGGTCATACTTTAATTAAAATCAAAAGTGTATGACAGGTCATACTTAATATAGTTTGTAAAAAAAAATTTGTAAACGAATCATTCTCCTATGAAAATAGATCATGTATATGTAACCTGCGATATATGACTGGCACAATGCCACCCCTGTATTCTGCAAATTTGAGATATGCAGGGATGGCTAAGTCAAAGTGCTTGCGTGGTGGGTTGCACCATCCTCCATTGTCACTTGGTATACTATAATTTGGAGGGCAAAGGTCGGTGGCTGTGACATAAATAGAGGATTGGCCTTTACACCATTGAGAGTTTACACATTTGATCTGAAAACATGCCCCACATGTCCGGCCGTTGTTGAACAAAGCTGTGCTCAATGCTGTTGTGTCAAGCCCATAACCTTCTTTAACCACATCTTGATACCCACAAGCTCCTCCTGCAATCAAGTTATTCTTTTTCTTCGTAAGTAAAAGACACATGTATGCATAAAAAAAAATTAACGTTTCTCGAATTACATAAAATAATCATTCAACCCTAAAACAACGCTATTTTAGGACTTAAATATTGAATAATTTTATAAAATTCATGATATAAAAGAAAAGTACAATTTCTAAAATACACTAATTACTCTTTATCCAAATCCCAAAACGACGTCTCGTGTTAGGGTCGCTGGAGATAACTTTATATAATGTAGCAAATATAAACACTTTTCCCTAAAAATAATAAGAAACGAACATATTTTATTGGAAAAACAACTTCTCCTTTCAAAGGAGAACAACCATCTTATGCAATAGAAACAGTTGCTGGGGTCTCATTTATTTTTTTGAAAAAGAAAAAGAAAAAAAGCTGGGCACAAGAATCGATGTGAGAGCGGTAGATGTTTTTTGAATGAAGTGACATGAGAGGTATAAACCCCTATTTTATTATGATGAAAAAGTTTGTAGTATATGTAATGGATTAAATGAAAACTATACATTGATCAGCATTCAAAATTGATCATACCAAATGTTCCGGAGTTTCCTTCATAGAAGGTAGCATGAGCCTCCTTCCATTGGCTAGGGCTAAACTTGGGGCGATGATGCTTGCGGGTAACGCCCACTCTGTGACCTCCTTCAAAATTGTTATATGCTTCATATCTCCACGGGGAGATAATGTCTGCATGCACATCAGAAATTGGCAATGCAATAAGAAAGAACAAAAGAATTCCCAAAGGAAATGCCATAGGAATTGCAGGTTTGATTAGAAGTATTCTTCTAGATTATGTTGTAGCTTGGTGTTGGCGAATATATATATAAGGTCCAAGGTTCTTACTTTGTCTAATGTTTTTGGAAATGACACAGCAATCACCTCTCCAAATGGAAAATATTTCCAGTATTCCATTAATACTAACGATTCTGTGAATTATTCATTCAAATTACAGAAGCGGAAAAAAAACCTATTTAATTGCATTTATTCTCCATTTATCCTGAACTTCCACTTTTTCCTTCTCTAGTAAATGAGTAATTATATTATTCCGTTACTATTGAAGATGTATATATTCCTTCAAAAATCGTGTCTTTGTAATCACAGATATTTTAGTTTGTTTCGTTCACATTAAGATAGCAGTGAAAGAATGTATATTTATAGTATAATTGGATGACATTTGCAAAATAACACCTCAATCACCTCTTCAAATCAGTAATCAACTAATCATCATTATTTTCATTTATTTCTTTCCTTATGAGCACCATTATTTAATTTGTTTCTTTTCATGTAAGATAGTAGTAGGTTTTGTATATTGTTAACCTTACATGACATATACAAAGTAGTGCATAAAGAAATATGAATGAAATATATAAAGACTAAAAGTTTGATGTGATCCACTTTGTGAAAAAAATAATTCAATTACTATTTCGTGAAATTTTTTTATCCATCAACCCCTCTTCATTTTTGCTGGCTCCACTAGCAAGATTAGGATATTATGTCGCAACATTCTAGAGTAGGCAATATAACCAGAGTGTGTAATTTTCCCAACAAGACTCCAGGATGTTATGGTTCATCTTATCATCTATTCCAAATTTTAATTTCTCTTTTACTTTTATTTCTAAATATTAATTAAAATCATGAATAATAACTAAAATTTAAAAATAATACAATTACGTTATTTTTACAATCAACATTAAATTCGTTCAATCAAATAATAATTAACACATTAAATTATCAATGACCAGATTGACTTTTCTCCCAAAGAATTCAAATTTTTGAAAACAAAGATCTTAAAAATTAGTATATAATAATTAATATCATTAAATCCTCCATTAATATTCTGGAAAATGTATTAAGCTCATTTAGTCAAATAATAACTACTATGTTGTTAGATGACAACTATTTGTGTGATGCTATCTTTCAGAAGTACCACAAATTTAAAAATATAAATTTTATTGTGGATCATAACAATTTAATTCTTGATTTTTTTTAAAAAATTTAAAATTTAATAAATTTAGAGGACCTCGAATAACCAATTTTCATCTAATGAAACATCAATTTCTTTTTGATGCATTTAAGATTGGTTTAGAAATATTCGTGTGTGCGTCAGTGTGTGCGTCAGTGCGTGCGCGTGTCATTTTGGGCTTATTTCATAGTTCAGGAAATTTTAATCAATGTTTGTTATTTTATATTTTTGTTATTTCTTTGATTCTCTCTTGATTGTACATTATATCATTTAGCTGCGCATGATTACTTTTCATTATTTTTGAATTTATTTTATTTATTTATTTAAGGTTTGGAGAATCCAATTATTATTTGAAATTTTTGGTTAAATAAAATTTAGAAAAGGTAAATAGTTTTTCTTGCAATCCTTGTGTTTAGGGGTAGGGGAGTCAATATAGGTTTTGACACGCGGGTCGACCCGCGATACGACACGAAAATTTGTGTTCGGGTTGACCCGCAAAAAAATTCGTGTCGTGTTCGTGTTAGAAAAAATAACACGTAAAAAATTCGTGTCGTGTTCGTGTTTATGTATTCGTGTTCGTGTCGACCCGTATTTTTTTAAAATTATTTTATTTTTAATTTTTTATTATTATTTTTTAATTTTTTTTAATATCGATCCATTTTTTTAATATTTTTTGTCATTTACTATTTTGACCCTTATTTTGCGTGTTATTCGTGTCGTGTCGTGTCAACTCGCAAAAAATTTGTGTCGTGTCAGTGTGTAAGATTTTGACACGAATAAAAATTCCTGTCGTGTTAGTGTTGATGTATTCGTGTCGTGTCAAATTTGTGTCGTATCGAATTCGTTTCGTGTCGACCCGTTTTGACACCCCTACTTCTTTTGAGGTAATTATTTTGATATGCCTATACTTGCCCCGATAAGATTCTATACACAACACTCTCACTAATAGTATTAGTATAATTTATTTTACTACGATCTTTATAAAAAAAACAAATAAAATAATTCACATGCCTAGATGAGGAATTATTTTACAGACTCGTTCAAAAACTCATTATCATTTATGAACGGTTAATTTTTTTTTCACAATTAGATCATTTAAAATCTTATTTTTTTTCAGCTATTTATTTAAAATGAAAACAACACTGCTACAATAATCAAACAATTGTATTAATATTTATGTATTTAATTATGGGATAGTATATTGTAACAACCTAATAATATTATTATCATATCTTAATCGTTGATTTTGCCAATCAACGATTATCATTTATTGCGAATTAATATTTAATTAATGAATTTGATTGCGAAAATAATAATCATTGATCGGCAAAAATCAACGATTAAGATATTGTAGTAATATTGACAGTAACATTATTGGGTAATAATAACGGGAATAACATCTATCCTTTTAAAGGATATAAACTTGTATCCTTTTAGATCTTAACCGTTAATTTCCGTCCATCAACGGTTATAATTTATTGGATTAAAATGATTAACTAATTAATAATAAATTTGGCCCATTAATGGCCCAATAAAAAATAGAATAAATATTTCCCTTACCAAGCAATCATAATATGTGCGAGTTAGGGGTCAATCACTGTGCGTGGCTAAAAGCTATTTGTTAATTGTTATGATTGGCACCTCTAACCTTGGTAACAAGCCCTGATCTTTCTTCTGTTCAAACTTCCGAAGCAAACCTTGTACTGCAGTGATCCAATAATAACAACCCCAAGCCCCAATTCATATTATTAGGTTTTGCATTCTCTTCTTTTACTTCAAATTCCAAAAAGTTTTTATTTTTATTTTTTGCTTCATTGCGTGAATTTCCTGTTGTGAGTTTCCGTTTCTTTGATCAATTTGGTGCACTGAATTTCGTCCTCTGTTACTTCAATTATCGATTTGAAGTAGCTTAACCGTTATTAATATCTGTGTTTTGGCTGATTTGTTCTTCACAATTCAGTAGCGTTTTTACTTTATATCAGTTGTCATGTTTGTTTGTTTTTTTTGGCTGGAATTTAACGGTTTCTGAACAAACATTGCAATTGGGTTTTGTTTTCCTAATTAAATTATGAATTTTTTTCTATATGAGGGGTCGTATCTTTTTTTAACCTAATGATGTTTTGATTCTGATTACAGTGATAACTTGGGGAAGCAGGATGCCGGGCGTGCGGTATTTTCCTCCTGTGAACACGTTAGAGCAAAAGTTACAGATTGAAAAGAGGCTTGGTAGCGTGAAATCATGCAAATACTTTAGTCTTCTCACGAAATTTCTCAGTCTCAAAATTAGTAAATCTGAATTTGATAGGCTCTGCATAGCAACTATTGGTAGAGACAATGTTCCGCTTCATAATCATTTTATCAGGTCAATCTTGAAAAAAGCGTCTCTCTCCAAGACAGCCCTGCCAAGAAATAGCACAGTGGAAGGTTCTTTGAATGTCAAAACGCCCAATGGGTGTAACAATCTTCAGCTTCTGTGCAAGGATTTTCTTCAATCTCCTCGGAGAGGTAGGACTCCAAACTTGCGTCGCCGCAGATTCAGGGACCGTCCTATCCCTCTTGGTCCTCAAGGGAAGAACAACAACATTGGGTTTGAGGATTCGGCCCCTAAAATTCATGAGCAGCAAAACACTGTTGATCTACATTCTGTAGGTAGCAAGCGCCCTCTATCTCTGGAAGATGGGGAGGAGGTTGATGAGGATTCTGAAAGCCTGAATATATATAGAAGGAGTCCTGTTCGTGCGCCTTTGGCAATTCCCACCTACAATAAAAGAGCACGAAAACTTTCATGTAAAGGATTACCATCCGATACCGTTACTGATACCTGTAAAAGCATTGGTCAACTGCCTGATGCACCTTCTTTAACAAAAAGGTTGGAGCAGATATTGGAAATGGAAGGATTGATGATATCAGCGGATGCAACCAACTTGTTAAATAATGCGCTTGATGTTTACCTCAAAAGATTGATTAAACCCTGTTTGGATTTAGCTGCTTCAAAATCGGGAAATAAATTTAGTGGTCCAATCCAATCTGGTTTGTATGGGCTACCTATTGGTAGGCGTGTGCAAAAGCCAATTGTATCTGTTTCTGACTTTAAAACAGCAATAGAGTTGAATCCTACTATACTAGGGGTAGATTGGTCACTACAATTTGAGAAGGTTTGCCTACGTGCATCCGAAGAATGAACTAAAGCAAGTAACATTGTACTGATCCAAGCTATAAATTGAGTTTTCCTCAAAGTTATGATATTGGAATGGGTTAAATCCTTTCTGAATCTGACACGTGTCACTTTTTTAAAATCTGTAGAAATAAAGGAAATAATTAAATAAATATTCAACATTTCTAAGGAAGAAGGAAATAAAGGAAATAATTAAATAAAGGATATTCTACATTTGAGATTAAATAAAGATTTGATTTGTGATGGCTTATGAATTTTTTTCAAAAATAAAATTACCTAAATTAGGCGTGATTGCCTCTTGATTGAAACCCAAATTAGACGTCATTGGTGATGTGTAGGGTTTTGACACGTGTTGACACGTTTCACATTTTTAAACTCGTAAGTCTCTGAGTTCTGCGTTTGTGATTTAATACAAAAAATACATCAAGATTTGATGGGTAATTTAAATTAAAAAAATAAATTTTTTTATTTTTATTATAAAAAAAAATTGGTTTGTGATTTAAATTAAAAGTAACAATTATTATTAATAAGGAAAACAAAATAAAAATTTGATTTATGATTTAAACTAAAAAAGCAATTTGAAAAATCTGTAGAAATAAAGGAAATAATTAAATAA